ACTAAAAAGGCCTATAACCCTAGTTGGGAACGAGCCATTCTGGTTTAAGAACGGGCCGTTCCAAACATGACTATTATGTGTTAAAATGCAACCCCATAACGGGCCGTTCTGGTTTAAGAACGGGTCATTCTAGATGTGAATTTTACACATGATGAATGAGTCTAGAACGGGCTGTTCTGGATCCGAAACGGGCTGTTCTGGCCACTTTTGACATCTATAAATAGCATACTCTAGCACTGCTTCTAGACGCACTCTCTGAAGACCAAGGAGAACCAAAAGAAGGAGATCAACCAGATTCCACTCTAGCTTCGCCTTCTGCTTATCCAAGTAAAGGGGAGTGAGAAACCTCACTCTGGATGTGGGAATGTATGTTGGGTAGTGGGATTGACCCCCAATCCTATGTTTGTCGTGTGCTCATGTATGAGGGGGTTTTTCCCAATTGTATATGTTTCATCCCTGTTTCTCCCTAAATGTTCTAATTGATGTAATTAGTATGTATGTATGAGTAGTGTTGGTGTTTGGATTATAATTGCAGACTTTGGTGTTCCTATGGGTTCCTATGTGAAATCCTAAGGGAATGCATTGGTGATTGTAAGAGGAGATTGTTTGAAGAGGCAATTATATGAGTAAATTATATTGTGTTAAATGGTTATTGTATGAATTAGAGTGTTATGTGGGTTCCTGAGAGAACCATATGAGAAACAGACAAAACATGAATGTTTTATGTTTTACTTTCTTATTGTTCTGTTGTATTTCTTGTTGGATGAGATGTACGAATATGTGTTTAATTTTGCAAATACACAAGTTTTGATATAAATTAAAGTGCTATGTGGAGACTATGTGAATATGATGTGATAATGTGAAATGTGAATATGAGACATGAGATATGAGGATATGTGATAATGTTATATGACAATGAGACATGATAATGTTATATGATAATGAGACATGATAATGTGATATGAGAATGCATACAGTCTTGATTGACATGCATCATTTGCATAAATGTTTTTAAGGGTACGATATGAAATACACTGTCAGGGAAGGCCCCCTTGTGTAAAATCTTGGGGATTAGTCCTTGAGGATAGCTCGGTTTGGAAGTTCTAGTCTCGCCCATTTTGTGCATGGGATATACCTTGTGCGGCTTAGCTATCCCGACGAGACCCTGGTAGTATATCCTTCTAGTGAGAGTGCATAGAGGGTGTGACCCGGCATGTACTCCTAGACTACTCTCGTGTATTGCTAGCGGCAATACGCCATGTGATAAGTGTTACTAGCGTCACATGCACGATAATATGTAGTCTGTGTCCATCACATGTGCATTTTAATGTTATATGCTAAAGTGATTTTTATGCCTTTGATGAGTGGAATGTGATATTGTGGTTAATCTATTTATGCCATGCCCATATACATGTCTTGTTTGTGTTTGATTATCCATTGTGTATTCCTACACCGTGAGCCAGAGTGAGATGTTTCTCACTCCCTTTTCTTTTGTGTTATTTTCCTTTGATTGTTATACAGGTGATCATCAACATGAGGCTGAGGATGTTGGTGACGAAGCTTAGACTTCAATGTTGGGTTTTGTTTTGATAGGACATGTGACACTAGGGCATAGATAGGATTAGATTATGATGTTGTTCTTATTATTTTGAAAACCTTAGTATTATTTCTTTGTAATTTTCGCTGATTAAGTTATTTGTTTAAGTCATGGATGTGGTACTCTCTATCTAAACACTTTGGTATTTCAATTATGAAAGATTGTGTTATTCAAAATTTTATTATTTATGTGTTATGGTATGCGGGGTAGAGGATGTCACAACTAGCTCAAGAACAATGGGCTGATATTTTTACCAAACCTTTGTCTCCCACTTGATTTTTATTTTGATGAGACAAATTCAAAGTGATTGAGCTTCCTTCTTAATCTCACCACCTTGAGTTTGTGGAGGTGTGTGAGTAATGTATATAGAATGCAATTATGCGACTACTTTTATTCTATTATAAGTTTATTATGCAGAATAATATAAATACTAAAACTCTCTTTGTAAACATTTCTCTATTCATTCTTCTATTAATAATATCTTTTTTTCTCTCTCTCTTTGTCTAATGGTTGTAAAGGTAGAGAGCCCAAGCTCACACCAGTGTTTGCTTTCAAAGAGCATTTAGTCATTTATATTCTTTTATTAAATTTAATTTATAAATATATAAATACAAATTGAAATAAATTAGAAATTGAAAACACTTAAAATTCTCTCATTAAAGAAAAAATTTTAACAAATTAAAGATAATAATAATAATAATAATTATTATTATTATTATTTATTGATTGATTGGCCGACTAAAAATGTCTAAGAATCTTCTTCTAAAGTAAGGGATAATTTTTTCACACATAGGAATCATAATTCTTGGAAATTACAAACCTCGAGAATTATAATTCCTGAAAATGACTAAAATCTGTTTTGTTACTCATAAAAATTCTTGAAATATTAATATAGGATTCCTGACAAATAAAGATTCTCACATTTGGTAACAATATTACTTTGGTGACTATATAAATATATTTTTACAAAATATCTTTTATAAAAAATTGAGTTTCTTTTTTCTTGAAGGATATACTCGTATCATAATCTAACATAAAAGAAAAATATTTAGCTTAAAATAACAAATAAAAAATTTCCATATAATTAAATTATACACAAAATCATAGAAAATCAAAGTATAAAATACAGTTTTCCCAATTTATCATAATAAGAAAATAAGTCAAATTAACCATCAAAATAATAATTAAAATAAAAAAGTAAGCTAGAAAATAGTATATATATATATATAATGTTATTTTGCTTAAATAATTTGTTAAATTTAGAAGCTAAAAATCATAATAAAAAATTAATAATATAATTTTATGATTTATAAATTTTAAATAATTATAAACTACTGCATTTAATGAAAATTATATAATTATTTAATTTTTTTATTAGATTAACGAGAAAAGTGATAAAAAATAGTAATTTCTATCTAATAACAATTAAATATTTTGTAATAAAAAAAATAAAAAAATAACTTATTAAAGTTCATATATGAAATGTTGCATTGATTTTTTTTCTTCTAAAAATTATCTAATTAAAAGTGAAAAAATGTCTAATTGCTTATTTAATTTAATTAATATTTTAATTATTTAATAAAATTCATGTATTTTCGTATTTGTTGTTCAAGTGATAATGAAAAAAAATATTAATTAAATTTTTATTATAAAAAGAGATATTGTGATTCTTTTATATACATAAATTTTTTTTTCTAAATTTAAAAAAGTTGGATTCATACTTCCATGATAATATTTTTGTACCAAAATGGGATAAAAATAATTTATCGAAAGCTATATTTCCTAGAGAACTTTTATTTTTAAATAATTATTAAATATGAAAAATCAAAATTTTCAATTTAAAATTTCAAAAAAATAAAAATATTTTGCATAACAAATACCTATTTAAAAAAAGTATTCTTGCATGGAATAAATTATTTTTTTACCCATAAAAATTACAATGACAATAATATGTTTGAAAATCTTATACATTGGTTCTAAAGTAAAAATGAATTTGAAAATTATAATTCAATTGATTTATGATTAATCTATAATATAAAAATATGTTTCTTTTTTATATAATATAAAAATATTTAAATCGATCGTACATATAAAAATTTAAACATGAACTCTTTTCTTATATAAAAAAAAACTAATAAAAGGTTTATTAAAAAAAAAAAAAAAAAAAATATTTAGCTTAAAATAACAAATAAAAAATTTCCATATAATTAAATTATACACAAAATCATAGAAAATCAAAGTATAAAATACAGTTTTCCCAATTTATCATAATAAGAAAATAAGTCAAATTAACCATCAAAATAATAATTAAAATAAAAAAGTAAGCTAGAAAATAGTATATATATATATATAATGTTATTTTGCTTAAATAATTTGTTAAATTTAGAAGCTAAAAATCATAATAAAAAATTAATAATATAATTTTATGATTTATAAATTTTAAATAATTATAAACTACTGCATTTAATGAAAATTATATAATTATTTAATTTTTTTATTAGATTAACGAGAAAAGTGATAAAAAATAGTAATTTCTATCTAATAACAATTAAATATTTTGTAATAAAAAAAATAAAAAAATAACTTATTAAAGTTCATATATGAAATGTTGCATTGATTTTTTTTCTTCTAAAAATTATCTAATTAAAAGTGAAAAAATGTCTAATTGCTTATTTAATTTAATTAATATTTTAATTATTTAATAAAATTCATGTATTTTCGTATTTGTTGTTCAAGTGATAATGAAAAAAAATATTAATTAAATTTTTATTATAAAAAGAGATATTGTGATTCTTTTATATACATAAATTTTTTTTTCTAAATTTAAAAAAGTTGGATTCATACTTCCATGATAATATTTTTGTACCAAAATGGGATAAAAATAATTTATCGAAAGCTATATTTCCTAGAGAACTTTTATTTTTAAATAATTATTAAATATGAAAAATCAAAATTTTCAATTTAAAATTTCAAAAAAATAAAAATATTTTGCATAACAAATACCTATTTAAAAAAAGTATTCTTGCATGGAATAAATTATTTTTTTACCCATAAAAATTACAATGACAATAATATGTTTGAAAATCTTATACATTGGTTCTAAAGTAAAAATGAATTTGAAAATTATAATTCAATTGATTTATGATTAATCTATAATATAAAAATATGTTTCTTTTTTATATAATATAAAAATATTTAAATCGATCGTACATATAAAAATTTAAACATGAACTCTTTTCTTATATAAAAAAAAACTAATAAAAGGTTTATTAAAAAAAAAAAAAAAGAAGGCTGATGCAAAGCGTGTTAAGGAGCCCACTGACATGGGTAATGCACTTGGCAAATCCAACCACAAATAGCACAAGTTGAACTCAGATCCCACTTTGATAAAAGTGAAAGCAGTTCGGTTTGAACCAACAATGACCGTACGATTTAAATCAAACGGCGCACATCACGCGTGTCTACTTATGTCTCATCGAATCTGTGCGACACGCACTCACTCTCTCTCCTCTCTCTCTTTCTCCCTCCTCTCTCCTCTCTGCAACTCCCGGTGGTGGAGAAACCCTAACCACCGTCAATACGCGGTCGTTTCGTTCCCGAACCACACTAGTCACGCGCGTTTCCACCACCACTCGGAACAGAATCCGTTTCCCCGTATTCGAGTTTCTGGGATTCTTCTTCAACCCCCAAAATTGGGAGATTTGTGAATCAATTTATCGTCGGCTCCTAATAATTTATAGCCGTTCCTGTAAGTTGGGGCTTCAATTTTTCATATCAATATGCACATAATCGTTTAGTCAGTAAATTTGTAAATGTCCCCAATTCTAGGTTAATTTTCAAGCTTTTAGTTTTTTTCGTCGTTGTAGAACTCAAAGTCTTATGTATTAGAGGCTTTATTAATCTTCATAGCATTTTCTTTTCTATTAATGTTTTTCCTAGATATGACTTTCAAATAATTATTACAAAAGTAATCTTGCCACATGATAAGAGTACACTGCATAAAAATTTAATTCAAATGATAATTTTTGGTTTTTGTAGTTTCTACAACTTTTTAATTGTGATGATTAATTTATTAATAAATTTGTGAATTGTAGTTATTATATTATGTATTATATATATTATAGTATATCGTAGATAGCTTACACATATTTGACGACATTGAAGTCTCATGTTATTGGCATAATTTGAGTATATATAATGATATGTTTGGTTGGGTGGAGAGAAAATAGAGAGGACCAAAAACGTGAATAATGAGGTTTTTTCTTTTTTTTGGTTGAAGACATGAAAGAAAAAAAGGAGAAAAGAAGTTGACTTTTAGGAGCAAAACATCGAATTTTTCCCTCCTTTAACGTTCATTTCAATTCAAATTTCGATATTTTTTCTCCTTCTTTGTTTTTCATCCACCCAACCAAACAGATCCTTAAGATTCCTTGCAGACCTGTGCCTGCTTTCTGAAGCCGGTATGTTTTGAATTCCAACTTAAAAACCAGGCAGAAACCACAGATGATGATGTCACTTCATAAAAGCTCAATTCGGTAAAAAAATTATTTGAACAAACTTACTTTTTGGGTAGCTTAGCAGTTCATTTTCTATGTTAAGTTCCCTTTCATTGTTGATGTCACTTGCTTTTAATGCATGCGCAGAGGAAGTGATTGTGTTGTTTACGGAATCAACTTTGTGCAGTCTTAGGATATCATCATTTTTTCTTTTCTGGAACTGTCTTTTCTCAATTTTGTATTTACTTGGAGCACAGGCAACTTAGATTGCACCTACTTTCTATTTGATAGGGTTAAAGCATTCATTCCATGGTCAGTCCATTTACCCATGAAATAGGCACACATTAAGATAGTGGTATAAATTGTTTGAATGGATGTTCAAGTGATAAACGTGGAAGGAGGTGGTCATCAAACCAAGGCAGATGATGGGGATGCAGAACCAAGTGATGGTGAAGTTAATAATGCTGAAAACTATGGATCTCAGGCTGAGGATGGGATTTCTGAGCCATACTTGGGTATGGAATTTGACTCTGTAGATGTTGCTAAGACTTTATATAATGAGTATGCCAGACATATGGGTTTTAGCTCTAAAGTTGGCCCATATGGTCGCTCTAAAGCTGATGGGGACAGTATGTATCGGGAGTTTGTGTGTGGAAGGGAAGGTTTGAAAAAAAGGCCAAATGAAAGTTGCAATGCAATGATTAGGATCGAGTTAAAAAGTCCAAATAAATGGGTCGTAACAAAATTTGTGAAGGAGCATAGTCATTCCATGGTGAGTTCCAGTAAGGCGCACAATAATCGCCCAAGTAAGCATTTTTCTAGTGTCGGAAGGACAATGCCTGAAACTTATCAAGGAGTGGGTCTTGTTCCCAGTGGTGTCATGTATGTATCCATGGATGGGAATCGTGTTTCAAATCAGAATAGTCATGGGATGAGGAATATTCATGCTGCTGCTTCTGAACGCAGTCACCCAGTTAAAAATTCCACATCGATGAATTATGCTGTTAGGCCTTATTTTCAAAACAGGACATTGGGGAAGGATGCTCATAATCTGCTGGAGTATTTTAAGAAGATGCAAGCTGAGAACCCTGGTTTCTTCTATGCTATACAACTTGATGAAGACAATCGTATGTCTAATGTCTTTTGGGCAGATGCAAGATCAAGGACTGCATACAGTTATTATGGTGACACAGTTCATCTGGACACAGCATACAAAGTAAACCAATATAGAGTCCCATTTGCTCCTTTTACCGGGGTAAACCATCATGGTCAAATGGTTTTGTTTGGTTGTGCACTCCTTTTGGATGATTCTGAGGCATCTTTTTTATGGCTCTTGAAGACATTTCTGACAGCAATGAATGATCGTCAACCTGTCTCTATAACTACTGATCAAGACAGAGCCATGCAGACAGCAGTTTCTCAAGTTTTCCCACAAGCTCGCCACTGTATTAGCAAGTGGCATATCTTGAGAGAAGGCCAAGAGAAGTTGGCCCATGTATGTCTTGCGCATCCAAATTTTCAAGTTGAACTTTATAATTGTATTAACTTGACAGAAACCATTGAGGAGTTTGAATCATCTTGGAATATTATCCTTGATAAATATGAACTTAGAAGAAACGATTGGCTTCAGTCATTGTATAATGCTCGTGCTCAATGGGTTCCCGCATACTTCCGTGATTCATTTTTTGCAGCAATATCTCCTACTCAAGGATTTGATGGTTCTTTTTTTGATGGTTATGTCAACCAACAAACAACATTGCCATTGTTCTTCAGGCAGTATGAAAGAGCTTTAGAGAGCTGGATTGAAAATGAAATGGAAGCAGATTTTGAGACAGTTAGCACAACAGCAGTTTTGAAGACGCCTTCACCAATGGAGAAACAGGCTGCTGATCTTTATACGAGAAAAATATTTGCAAAGTTTCAAGAAGAGCTTGTTGAAACTTTTGTTTATACTGCAAATAGAATTGAAGGAGATGGGCCAAATAGCACATTCAGAGTTGCTAAATTTGAGGATGACCAAAAGGCATATATGGTCACATTAAACCATTCTGAGTTGAAAGCTAACTGTAGTTGCCAAATGTTTGAGTATTCAGGCATTCTTTGCAGGCATGTTTTAACTGTTTTCACCGTGACAAATGTACTTACCTTACCACCCCATTACATCTTAAAACGATGGACAAGGAATGCAAAAAGCAGTGCAGGATCAGATGAACATACCAGTGAATCACATGCACAGGAGTCTTTGACAGCAAGGTACAGCAATCTATGTAAGGAAGCTATCAGATATGCTGAGGAAGGAGCTGTAACTGTGGAAACTTATAATGCTGCAATAAGTGGTCTTAGAGAAGGTGGAAAGAAGGTTGCTACTGTGAAAAGAAGTGTTGCTAAAGTGACACTTCCTAATAGTCAGGTCAGTAGTTCTGCTTATGATGACAGGAAAATTCCTACTCCGACTTTGGATACAACAACTCCTCTTTTATGGCCGCGACAAGATGAAATAACAAGGCGGTTTAATCTTAATGATGCTGGTGGTCCTGTTCAATCAGTTGCTGATCTAAACTTGCCTCGGATGGCCCCAGTCTCTCTTCATCGTGATGATGGTCAATCTGAAAACATGGTACCTGAAAATACAACTCACTATTGTTTTTTTGTTTCTATGGTTTAATAGATTAGGAATCCAGAACATTGATGTGGTCCTTGGGGTTCTTTCATATAGGTAGTTCTTCCATGCCTAAAATCAATGACATGGGTAATGGAGAACAAGAACACAACTCCTGGGAATAAAGTAGCCGTTATCAATCTGAAGGTATGCTCATATTAATCACAAACAAGAAAAGACTTGCAGTATCCTTCATTTAGTTTAACTGCAAAATTGATTGGGTTGTCAATCCTTGATTTGCATGGGTAGAAATATTTTCTGTAGTCTCACAATTTTGTGGTATTCAGTGTGGAGATTTAGTCCTTTGAGTTTGACATCTTCAAGAATCATATTGCAGTTGCAAGATTATACCAAGGCTCCATCCACAGAATCTGAGGTTAAGTTTCATCTCTCCAGAGTTACTTTGGAACCAATGTTGAAGTCTATGGCTTACATCAGCGAACAGCTGTCAACGCCAGCAAATAAGGTTGCTGTAATAAATCTCAAGGTATCTCATTTTATTTTCAAAACTTATTCTTTTCATATATTCGCTGATTGAGTTATGTTGAATTATCTTTCTAAACTTCAGTACAAGAAAACCATAGATAATGCATCTTTAAACATCTCTGATAAATTTCCTCAACAATTTTCTTCATGACAAGTTACTGCAGGGATTAAGAAATATATACATGTATATTTATGATTTATAAAGTGAGAATTTCCGCTATTGATATGTTATTCTGGAAGATAATTTAATGCATAAATTTCAATATTTGACAAGGGAACAAAACTAGTTAATTGTATTTCAGGAGGCTTTGCTGGTATGGGGCATTGGGATTGATTATTAAAAAAGTTGTTATGAGAGTTTGTTTTTATTATCTAGTTAGAAAAGTGACAAACTTATTTAATTTTTTTGGTTTCATTAAGAATGTAGTATTATAAGATAAGATATGCTAATTTAGGCAGATAAATTCTGACATCTTTGTTAAGTCATAAAACTGTATTTGTTTTGACACTAACATCCTATAAATTGTTTTCATCAAATATATTTAAATATAATGAATGTATAATTGGCAAAATAGAGTGTGAATCCTCAGCATCTCATGTTCAAGAGAGAGATGGCATTCTGACTTCAGAGCCATAGCGAGAAAACTGGCAGTTATGTGGAGTAATAAGAACATATGAACATGTTTTTAGGCATTCTCAAGAAGCTATTAGCCTAAGAACATGTACATGCTTGTTAAAGATAAAAAAAAAAAATTAAATTATACTCTCCTGTCTTTTTTATATGAACCAAATTAGAGATGTTGCTTGATCCTTTTTATAAGAAACAATCTAATATTGTCTCATGCATTATTTGTTTTAATACAAAAGTACCCATAATTATGAGTCATTTCTCTAAGTTCAATAAATAGTAGGTGAAATATATTAACGCCTTATGCTCTTTGAGAGTCTAACTTTACCTCATATATATAGCTATAGCATCTTGACATCCTTACTTCATCTCTTCGTATGTATAGCCAATAAAAATTAGATTAATAAATACATTATTGAGGAGATAGATTAAAAGAATTAAAGATAATAAAGTATGAGTTAGTCACCTATACACTGTTAGTGTAAAGTTTTTTTACACTGGCAACCAATTATATTTTTTAGTTGTGCCATGGCACTATAAATACATTTACTTTTAATAGTAACATGACATAATTAAAATATATAGTTGGTTGCCAGTGTAAAAAAACTTTACACCCACAGTGTATAGGTGATTAACTCATAAAGTATTGGAGTACAGTTTTACTCCTTTATTGTTACTTCATGCACGCACCAAACATATGGAATTAGACCTTTTCTTTGTTCGCGAGAAAGTGGCTGCCAAGTGTCTTCAAGTTGTTCATGTTCCAGCTATTGATCAGTGTGCTGATGTGCTCACCAAAGCTCTCTCACCTGCGCGGTTTTGTGAACTTCGGTCCAAGCTTCAAGTAGTTGAGTCTCCTCATCCTACTTGAGCTTGCGGGGGGCTATTGGAGTACAGTTTTACTCCTTTATTGTTACTTTCGGTTATTATAGATAATTAGGTTATCTTTCTGTTATTATAGATAATCAGGTTATCTTTCGGTTATTATAGATAATTAGGTTATTATAGACCAATCTTAATTGGCTCTATAAAACCTGTCTTGTACTCTGTTTTTCAGCAGTTAATAAGTTACATTCTTTGCCTATTGCAAATCTTCTCTCATCTCTCTCTCTCACTCTCTTACTCCTTTTATCTCTCACATATAATTCCTTTATAAAGTATTTGTAAAACAAATCAAAGTATGTCTCATTAATGTTGGGTATTATTTTGGCCCAAGCATTTAAATTTAGAACAAATAAAATGCTATTTACTAAATTAACAAATTTCCATAATTTTTGTGTTTCAGTTAATTGAATCTTATAAAATGGACCGGTGAGAGTATTAATCATTGCTAGCTTGTAAATTAGATCTTGAAATTGGTCAATAGGAAATCCTTTGGTGAATATATTTGCCAACTGGTGTCTTAAAGGGATGTACAATCAGTGTTGTTAAATGGTGGTTATGGCGGCGCCATAAGGATATGGTGGCGGCGGCGGCGTTCTATTATGGTTGTTTGGCCTTTGTATGGCGGTAATGGCGTGGCGGTCATGGCGCCCATTTTGGGCTTTTTTTTTCCCATTTTTTCCGGGTTTGGGCATTCCATTTTCTTGAATTGGTTCGCAACAGACAACCCTAACCCTAAAGCTCTGAAACATTGTCTCCTCTATGCAAGGTCAACAATGCACCTCCTCTGACAAGTTCTGCCTAAAAAAATCAAAAGTTGTAATTTAGCGACCGAAATAGCGACCGAATTCAATTCTGTCGCTAAATTTAACTACTATTTAGTGACCGAATTCAATTATGTTGCTAATTTTAACTAATATTTAGCGACCGAATTAAATTCCGTCGCTAAAAAAATCAAAATTGATAATTTAGCGACCGAAATAGAGACCGAATTTAATTCCGTCGCTAAAAAAAATCAAAATTTATAATTTAGCGATCGAAATAGCGATCGAATTTAATTGCGTCGCTAAAAAATCAAAATTTCTTATTTAGCGACCGAAATAGCGACCGATTTTCTAGCGACGACTTATTTTGGTCGCTAAATCGGTCGTTATTTTGATTTTTCATAATCGATCGCTAAATCAGTCGCTAAATAGCGACTGATAAATTTTGGTCGCTAATTTCGGTCGCTATTTTACAATTTTCTAGTAGTGGGAAAGATTGACTAGTGTTAATATTACCAGATCTTAGTAAATCTTTTGTGGGGTATGGTGATGCTTTGAAGACGGGTTTGGGGTGGAAGCAAAGGTAGTAGCTTATGTTTATAGGGAATTGAAAATTCATGAGAGGAATTACCTTACCCATGACCTTGGGTTAGCGGTTATGATATTTACACTAAGATTTGGAGACATTACCTATAAAAGTATTTGTAAAACAAATCAAAGTATGTCTCATTAATGTTGGGTATTATTTTGGCCCAAGCATTTAAATTTAGAACAAATAAAATGCTATTTACTAAATTAACAAATTTCCATAATTTTTGTGTTTCAGTTAATTGAATCTTATAAAATGGACCGGTGAGAGTATTAATCATTGCTAGCTTGTAAATTAGATCTTGAAATTGGTCAATAGGAAATCCTTTGGTGAATATATTTGCCAACTGGTGTCTTAAAGGGATGTACAATCAGTGTTGTTAAATGGTGGTTATGGCGGCGCCATAAGGATATGGTGGCGGCGGCGGCGTTCTATTATGGTTGTTTGGCCTTTGTATGGCGGTAATGGCGTGGCGGTCATGGCGCCCATTTTGGGCTTTTTTTTTCCCATTTTTTCCGGGTTTGGGCATTCCATTTTCTTGAATTGGTTCGCAACAGACAACCCTAACCCTAAAGCTCTGAAACATTGTCTCCTCTATGCAAGGTCAACAATGCACCTCCTCTGACAAGTTCTGCCGCCGTTGTCGCCTCCGACGCGGCCACCACCGCGCGCAACCGCTTCTCCCTCTACGCACGACAACTTCTTTTCCCTCTACACGCGATTCTCTCCTTCTCCCTTCGCGCGCGATTCTGCACCTTCTCCCTCTGTGCACCTCGTCCTTTGAGTTTTGTTGCCGCTGTTGCCTCCTCCGATGCGACCACCACAGTCTACAACAATGTCAAGGGAGGTAGAATCAAACAACCAGCCACTAACAGGGTCATCTTCCAATTCCATTTATTTTAAGAGGACTGATGTTGTTTGGAAGCATTGTACACCGATGAGACAGGATGATACAAATGAGATTTTTTGTAACTATTGCCGGAAGGTTATGAAAGGAGGTATCACAAGGGTGAAACAACATTTGATTGGAAAGGCAAACAATGTTACAACCTTTTTGATGGCTCTTGAAGCTGTCAAGGTTGAGATAAGGACAACTATGGATGGTAAGAAGCAGAAGCAAAATGAATCATTCAAGAAGGCAATGCAAGAGATTGAAGCACAATGTGAATAAGGATTTATGGAAATTGGAAGTTTTGATGCTCGGCTACCTCCTGTTGGTGATTTCAGATTGAAGGATACTAGGAAGGGACCTATGGACCTTTACAGTCAATCTCAATCTACAGCTACTAAAAATAGGAAAGACAAGGTGGTGCAAGTGAGCATAAGAGAGCTTTGTGATAAAAAAGCTACAGAAAGGGTGTACCAATATATAGTCCGCTTTTGGTACCAAGCTGGCATACCTTTCAACATGATAAAGTTCGAAAGTTTTCAAGATATGCTTCTTGAAGTTGGGCATTTTGGGAAGCATTTGAAAGCTCCTTCCTATCATGATAATAGAGCACCTCTCCTTCAAAAAGAGGTGGAGTACACTAATGAATTAATGAAGCCACTAAAGGATTAGTGGGCAAGTTTTGGGTGTTTCTTAATGTCAGATGCTTGGATTGATAGGAAACAAAAAAGCATAATCAACTTTTTGGTGAACTCCTCTTTTGGGACAATGTTCTTAAGGTCGATTGATGCATCTGACTATGTAAAGACCGGTGAGAATATATTTGAGTTGTTGGATTCTATTGTGGAGGAGATTGAAGAGGAAAAGGTTGTTCAAGTTATAATGGACAACAAAAGTAACTATGTTCTTATCGGTAGGTTGCTAGAGGAAAAAAGACCAAAAATTTATTGGACCTCTTGTGTTGCACATTGTATAGACTTGATGTTAGAGGACATTGGTAAGCTGCCCAATATAAAGAAGATCATTCAGCGAGCTATCTCTCTTGTTGGCTTCATTTATAGCCATTCAAGCACTTTGAGCATGTTGAGGTTCTTTATCGGTGGGAGGGAGTTAGTGAGGCATGTCAATTGATTTGCAACATCTTATCTTTCCTTGGGGAGGATTCATCAAGAGAAAACTAATTTTCGAAAGATGTTTGTGTCAGAAGAGTGGAATGAAAACAAGCTAGCAAAGGAGGCCAAGGGAAAGG